AGGAATAGGTCTTGAGGAGAATGTTATGGATCCGAAGTTCTATTTTGCTTTAACTTCCACTTCCATTCTTTCCTGAGAAAGGAACAACTATCTGTCACAACTTTTGTCAATTAAAGTTGGTTTTTTTTGTGGGTTTGATTTGTTTTTTGGTTTAACGTGCATGTTATGTAAAGCAATTATGTTGGGAGAGGGAAAAGATTGAAAAGATTAAAAAGGAAAATGTAATTTTATGGGAGAGGGAAGAGGAGGGACACTTTAAAGTGCCTGACTGTCTCCTCAAATTTGAGATAATTGTAGTAACAATCTTTAAAATAGAAAATGGAATTCTGAGTCATCTAGGTGCTTTTGAAATTTTGTCTGAATTGGTTTATTTAGAGAATCGTTTATATATTTGAAGCTGGAATAAGTTTCCTCTGAGATTATGTGTCAGCATATAATTTCAAGGTTTCGTTATAAGACGACAAGGTATATTTTTAAAAGTTTTTAGCAATACCTCTGGTATGTTACTATAGTTAAAAATAAATAATTCTTGCCTCTTTTAGACAAAATTCTGATCTGTTTGTTGAAAACATCTACTTGTTAATTGTATTTTATTTTGACCTTGTTTAGTTGCTCTGCAGTTCTTAGATTTGTCCATATATTTCCATGTGGCTTGAAATTACTTAACTAAAAATAGTATTTCAAATGTAATCTTGATCTTCCTCTGTATGTTTACACAGGAAAATTCATATAAAGCTTCCCGTAATACAAAGTTTGTGCATATTTTGACTGGCAAATAGATGTCCTAGGTATTGTTCTGCATTGTTAAATGGCCCATAGAAAATGACCCCATTCTTTAATATTGTTGTGATGCATTCTTCACCACAAATATGTGTTTAAAAAATGTAAGGAGGATTTAAGTTTAATTTTATTTTGCTTTTTCTGTCTCTATAAGATTATTTTGCTGTTATTTACCATTGTACTTTTTATTTGAATGTGTACTAAAGAACTCCACTCCATTATGCTGCTGCCAATTGTAATTATCAGTGCCTGTTTGCCCTTGTGGGATCTGGAGCTAGTGTGAATGACCTAGATGAGAGGGGTTGTACACCTCTGCACTATGCAGCTGCATCAGACACAGATGGAAAGTAAGTGACACGCTTTGTACTAAAGCCTTTCTCCTTGAAACATTTGAGCTGTGAATTTCGTGTATGTTGTGCCTTGAGATTTGCCAAATGCATTTTTTATATTTTTAAAGATTAAACTTGACAGTGGATTGTTCATTATATATAAAATATTTTATATAACAAATATTTCTTAGAAAAATTAACAATAGTAAAATGTATTGTAATGTTTTGGTTATGTCCTTTGTATAATGCAGATGTCCAAATTCAGGAATTCATGTGGAACAGTGTTTCTAATCCCACCTGCTGCATAGTGGTTGAGTAAATGTCGTTCTGGGGGGTTGTTATGACAGTTGTGAGCAGTGGGGTCATTTTGCTTTAAAATCAAATTCTGATGAAGGATGGTGTGTTTTCTGGAGGGTTCTAAAAGTTGCCCAAAAATCTGTAGTTAGTCAGAAGTGCACTGTAAAACAAGGCTGTGAGTTACGGTAGGTCTACATCAGGATAGCAGTTAACTCTACATTTCAATGTAAGATGCTTTATCCATTTGGTGTTTGATGAAACTGTTCATGTTTGGCATTACAATTCTGTCTCGTTAGTGTAAATTTTTGTGAAGTAGTTACATTTTTATTGATGAAATGTATCCAGAAACTTTCATAAATCTATAAATGTCTCTTGCATGCATTTATTTTGTAAGTAATGGTTATATTTAACATAATTATTAATGACTTAAATGCTTACATGCAAAGCTTACATAGATAACACAAAATTGATGAGGTTACTTAAGCTCCAGACGCTGTATATATTGAGGAGACTTGAGAGGGGTACCACTTGTGTGTGCGCACACACTCACATACACAGGTCAAAACATGGCATTTCAAGTGCATACAGTGACGCCTTCACTGGAAGAAGGTGCTGCTTAGTACCATATCATGTTGTTTTAATTCAACACCTTTTAAAAGGTGAGGTAGCAATAGGGAATGAAGTGGCATATAACTTACAGATTGAGTTTGGAAGGATAAATGAACAATACTTCCATGGCAATTTAACTAATATTTAAAGTACATCCTTTTTAATGTAAAGCTAAATTTCAGAACAAAATTGTCTGCTGTTTTTTAGATGTACTTTCAATTCCTGCTGCAGTTTGCTGAGATAATTTTACTTTAATTGCCCTCTTACAAGTTGAGCTAGGATTAATTTTAGCTTCACAGTTGCTCTGAAAACCTCCAAACTATAATGGTTCTTCTGATGACATCGTTTTGCCATCTGTCTTGCAAAAGGCATGAGCAAGAATGATGATGGCAATACTGCAGAGCTTTGGGAGATAACTCAAAGAATCGCCTCTGGAACCCGCACAATATTGCCCTTCTGATTAACAGTTGGCTCTCTGGAAGACAGGCTGCAAAGCAGAATGGCCTGAGGAGAAGCTTTTTATATTGATGCATCAAGTTGATTAGTAACAGCTGGAAAACCAGTACTGCTCAGCTCATATTCAAAACAGGAACAAAGCTAAAAATGATTACTGAGTTGGAATGTAAAGCCTGGGGAAAAAATGTTAGGAAATTATCTATATAGAAATTCCAAAGATATTTATGTGCATTTTTATAGTCTTTGTTCAGACATCTTTAAAGACAGATTTTAGGGACAAGGATGTTTTTTTGAAAAATATTTTCGTCTTTGGAAGTGTTTCTTTTGTATCTTTAACAAATGCTTCCGATCTGGAACAAACACCGGTAAGCCTCATTTTGACAAGACTAGAGAGAGAAACATGGTCACAGAATGAGATAAACTACACAGCATCTTAGGGGAGAAAAAGCATGCTCTTTCTATGTTAGAATTATTTAATAGGCAATATATCAGTAAATAAAGGGAAGTAAATTTACTTTATCTGGGCTTTCAGAAAGTTTGATTAATCTCCTTTTAAAGAGGCCTGTTGAGGACAGTGAAGTATGCAAAGTTAATCTCTTTTCTGGATGAGAAGGAACAGCAAAAATAATTATCTGTTTTACATTGGAAAGAATGAGTACTCCAGGATTTTTAGTGGACTGCTTCCTGCAGTGTATTTAATGTATTGTGCTTTTTGTGAGCACACAAATATAGAAACTACACACGTACAGAAATTTAGATAGCCAAGGCCAGTGATGTTTAGCGTTTATTAATGAGCCATGAATGTTAATACAAAATCATTGATTAAAATTAGCAAAGAAAGTTAGATGGTGAGACAAATAAAATGTAGGGACAGTAATTCTCACTTGATGAGACAAACTGACATGTCTTTGGATTCTCAGAAATCTCGTCCCGTTTCAATACAAATAAAACCATGCAAGCATGGTTGCCATTAATGAAATCCAGGCGTTTGTTTACTGGGCAAATAAAACCCCAGTTAGTTGGTAAAAAACATAAATGTGCTTTACAGGTAGCTTTTTATTAGATACAAGGAACTTGTAAAGTTACTCACATCTTGTGTTACATATGTTATTCTTTAAAACTGGAGAGTTTCTACCGTTTCCACTACCAACCTAAGCCCTCTTCTCCTTTATGCTGGACAGAAAATGATGGAAGTGAGAGTGCACCTTGGTATCACTCCTGTTCTTCTCAGCTTTGTAATGAGACAAAGTACTTTATAATTAGACGCTTCCTTGTTTCATCTTCACTCACCTGGTTTGTTACTTTCAATGTTTGTCTAGAAAAGCAAATGTCAGGTCTTCACATCAGCAAATCACTATTGTCCACATGAGGTTATCAAGCCCTTGACCCAGTACAGCTGTCTTACTCATGTTGAAATGTGTTTCCATTTCATCACAGCTGCTACTGGATCTCATTCAAATGATGAACTTGCACTGTTCCATCTGCTGACTCCAGGCCCAACCTTGAAAGACCTTATGAAGAGTTTGGATGTTGCAGGGTTGTGCTGTCTTCCCTTGGGAGATGGCTGCTTTTGTAGAATTTCTGCCTGTATTTCTCCAAGGTTTGAATGTTCTCCAGGATTTTGAATGATCAAGTTTCTACTCTAAACAGTATTGATCAGAGGTCATGTTAGGGTTCCTGGCTCTTGAATCTAAACCACTTATATCCTACTGCAAGTTTTTCACATGACGTCACAGCATAGCCATATCATACAACTACAAATGTTGACATTTCCTTTAACTTTCTGCCAAATAATTTCCCTTGAGATAAATGAGAACTAAAACCCTCATATTGTCAATATATCAAACTGGCCTGTTTATCATGACTAATACTGGTAATCTGTGAGACCTTTAGATAAACTGTGCTAAGGAAGAAAGATTCCAAGCTGGATTTGACAAGATAATATATTTTTTAGCTTCACGTGCATTTTATTTAACTGATAAAGGTGAAATATTTCATAATCCCAGAGAGGAGAAGAGATGGTGACCTGTTGTACACTTCAGAAGACAAATGACTTCATCAGCAAGTTCAAGGTCATGATAGTGACAAGCTATAACCATCTCTGCATTCCAAGGGCATGTCTTTGTGCTTCTTGACCTACAGAATTAATCTTTCCAGCTATAATATAAAGTACATGTTGTGTACAAAGTAGCTTCACTTAAAGATGTTCCTAGACTATTAGCAACATTCTCCTGTCTGGATTTGCCGACAGTTGTAACAACCCATTTTAGAAGGATTGGAATGTCACTCTCCTTTGCTGGACTTCTACCTGATGAAGTCGTCATACAGAGGTTGGGCCTTTGTAGACTTTCACCTGCCAGATTTTATTTAGCTCGAGTTCAGTCTTTAGAAAGCCCTTCTTTTTTGCAGGTTACGTTCCAAGTCATAAAAGATATAATTGCATTTGAATGTATGACTACTACCTCAGTGATGTCTTACCTGTGTTTTGGTCACAGAGCAGCATGTAGCTTGATGGTATATTTCACAAGACTTAAAAATCTCACTCCTCTCTGGAATGGTTGTTCCCTTAGCTGCTTGGTGGTCCTTTCCTGAATGGCCAGGCAGTCCTTCAGAGAGACCTACCCATTCCATTTTTCATTTTTCTCTATTGTAACAGATGATCCTTTATAGGCAGAGAGCACTTGGGGAAATTGTGGATATCTCAGGGCAAAAAGACCAGTAGTTTCTTACCAGTGTTCTTGAGTTCAGAGCTGTGTAGAACAGATGCAGAGCTTTCTGGTCTTCTCTTCAAAAATGCTGTGCCCAGGTCTCAGCAGACAATCTAATCACAATATGCAGTGTTGCCGAGTGGAGTGTCATTTTTGTCTTTTTTGTTCCCTGCTGAAAGAAAATGATCCAGTCATTCAGTGTACTAGCAGATGGTTTTGAATCAGTTCAGCTTTGGTGAACCCAGACTGGGAGATTAGATCCAAGGATCTGAAGTCCCATCTGCCTTTTATGAAGCACCAGGTGTTCTGTTCTTAAGTCCAGTAGACATATGAATTAGATGCAGTCTTGGTTCTGTTATCAGATAAAATTTTAGGTGCAATTTCTCAGATCCTGAAGGTTCCACCTAATGTAGGACATGAGGAGACCGTCTTAATCCTAACTGAGCAAACTGAGACAGATTAAGTACCAGAATCGTTTTAGTCTGGTAATAATAAATCTAAAATCTCTGCTCCTTTCCTATTAATTAAAAATTTTAGAGGCTCTATATAATATTGCTCAATGTTTATGTAGATATTTGGAGGCGCTTATCATGGTCTCATGAATACATTTGCAGAATAACCTGATGTTATTCTGGGACTGTTCGTTTCTCAGCAGTCTTTATCCTGTTACCCTGAAGCTCTCGAAGCTGAGCTTGTTATGTCAGGTAGTTCAGTCTAGATCAATGTACCACTTTGTTCTCTGGTGGCTGCTGCTTCAGAGTTCTCATTATTTGTAGGCTTTGCAAAACGTTACTGAAATGATAGGCGACATAAAATTATGAATAAGTAGGGTTATTGGTTGGAATCGTTTAGTGTGCATGCATGTAGTCCCTTAGAAAAATAGGGAGAGGGAGCTGACTTTTTCTTTCATACTCCTGGCTGAGTGTCTGTGGTTGAAACTGTGCTGATCATCTTCTGCCTTATCACTTTGTGTAATGAAAGTAAAAAAAGGTAAGATGTAAGTATGCCAACAGCTAAGTGTGTGTTTACTGTACAAATAAATCAATAAACTAGTGTCTGGTAGTTGAAGTGTGTGTGTGTGACTCTTGGATACGTAACCATGAAGAACTTGGCTATTGGTTCTCTTCCTCCTGTATTAAGTGTACAGAAGAAAGTACTGATCCAGAAAAACATACACAAATAGTAATCATTTATAGTAACAAAGGTAACTGCAGTTGTATTAGCTGGGAGGAAAATAGCCATGAAACACTAGTTTTATCCAAGTCAGATAATTCAGAGGATACAGGGTGTCTGCAGAGAAGGATTCTTTCAAATTCTGGAAGCTTTGTGATCGACCTTTAACATTTGGTGTAATGAGTTAGTTGTTCTCTAGTCCTAGCCAATATTGTACATTAAATCAGTGTTCCTGTGTGCTGTATTCTATTTTTCCAATTGAATTGGAACAATTTATCACATAGCATAAAGTTAAAATTCAACATTTAGACATATGGTTGCGTATGTCAATTCAAATAGGTGCCTGGAATACTTGCTAAGAAACGATGCCAATCCGGGGATCCGAGACAAACAAGGATACAATGCAGTTCATTATTCAGCTGCTTATGGTCATCGCTTATGTCTTGAATTGGTAAGAAAACGTATCATAGATGAAAGCTGTAAGAGCTGCTTTTCGAGTATGATGCAGAGGCCAGGGGATTCCTCCACCTTGGTTCTTCATCTGTAAGCTAGGTCAGTAGTGGTTTTCAGCCCCTGCGAGGATAAATATTTAAGCACTTGGTACCCTTAAAATAGGGGCAAAATGCAAAGCTAAGATGGTAGATTCTGGCTTGAAAAGATAATACATTCTGAGATGAAGAGATAACTGGTTGAGGATGTGGGATATTAGTTTGGATTTGCTTTTTTAAATTTAGAATACACTGCTAATTTTTTTCCTGATGGCTGAAATAAAATAACCATGGGTTATCCCACTGAGAAGTCTTGAGATTATTTCACAAATGTCATCTGAAGGAGCAAATCAAAATTTAGGGAAAACCTGTAAAGTAAGAGTGCCTTTTAAAATAATTCATGTAGTTACAGTGACAGTTAAAATGGCTACATAATAGAATTTTAGATAATAAAGCCTCAAGTAGTTTTTTATTAATCCCCTTGCAAAAATGTGTATGTTATTTGATATGCTAATTTTATCTTCTCTGTGTTATACAACTTAGTATTTTTATACAAATTATACTTTTATATTCAAATGTATTCAAACATGAATTCTGAATGTTTTAATTGCAGATTGCGAGTGAAACACCTCTGGATGTTGTAAGTGTATATTATTTCTCAGTGTTACAGTACTACGGTACAGCAAAAGGAAACACCTAATTTTAAAAATATGGCTTATTTTTAGACTTATTCAACCATTTCTTCAATGCATAGATGTATTATTTAATTTCACTTGTAATTTAGATTTAATTGCAATTCAGAACTGTAAAATAGAAAAAAATTTTCACGCATTTTTATTTTTTTTGCTTAAACATTCGTAGGACCATGTTATAAAAGTGTGATAATGACTTAGTGATCTGAATGTATTTGGTGTTCTTCAAACGTTTTGAATGTTTTAATTCTATTAGTGTACTAAAATATAGTCTTGAAAAAGACTCAAAATTAGAGCTTTATAACACATCTGAAAGTAACATAGAAATGTATACACATAGATATTTTAATCCTATTTTATAACACTTGTGCATTTTTGGGGGTCCGTTTCTTCTCTTTGGAAAATGTTTTTCTGTTCTGATAAATCAGTCCTGCCTTCTGACTTTTCATGTTGTTTTCTTGCTGACTTTTCACCTAATCTAATTGTTTACTTGTTGTTTGGTTGGTTGTTTTTCCTACTACTGCTGTTCTCACCTGCCCTCGTCTTCCCTTTGTATGCATTTCACCTATATTATTTCATATGGCTGCTTCAGGAAAAATGATTTTAGATTAGTTTCTGATTTAATTATTGCATTGTTATGAAAAATTAAACAACTATGCTTGGGAGATGAATATGGGGGAGGGGTTGCAGTCATTGCAATTCAAACTCTTTGAAAGATTGAAGGGACTCTAGAATTCCTAAAGAAACTGTGATCCTGTATTATTATTCTTATTTTTCTTCCTTTATTTTTCAATCTGTGGATGCTGGAAACTGTAGCAATTATTGCTGGAAGGTGAGGGGTTTTTGCACTCACTCTGACTTTTTCTCTTTGTTAAGCTAATGGAAACATCAGGTACTGACATGCTGAATGATTCAGACAACAGAGCACCTATAAGTCCACTGCATTTAGCTGTAAGTATATAATTTTTTAGTGATGATAGCTCATCTAATTGCATACAGTTGTTGACATAGGTTTATTCATTCTGGATTTTTTTTTAAGTAGTTCAATAACAATAAATGAAACACAAAAATACATACATAATATTCCTGAATGAGGGCAATTTTTGCATTTCACTTGAAACTTGCTTCATGGAACAGCTTTCATTTGGAATTTTCTGATTAAGATATATGTTGTAATTTATACTAATGAAACTTTTAGAAGATTTGTTCTATAAGTAATGATGACTTCTTTTCATCATCATTGGTTAGTATGAGAAGTGTTCATCTTTAATACTTTAAGAAAGATTTGCACAAAGAGTAGTGTAGGAGAGGACTTGATGAAACTGTCTATAAAAATATACTCAAAATACAGAGTAACTAGCACAACATGTAGCTTTCATCTTTTCACTGGACTTCTAGCAATTAAAAAACCACAATGTACTTTCTGAAAATAGCCTAAGTCTCATGCAGTACTGTTGTGGTTAAACCCCAGCCAGCAACGGGGGTTAAAGCACCACCCATCCACTCACTCATTCCCCACTGCTGGGATTGGGGAGAGAATTGGAAGGGTAAAAATGAGAAAACTTGTGGGTTGAGATCTAGACAATTTAATAGGTAAAGCAAAAGCCGTGTGTGCAAGCAAAGCAAAGCAAGGAATTCATTCACTACTCTCCATGGGCAGGCAGGCTTTCAGCATCTCCAGGGGAGCAGGGCTGCATCACATGTAACAGTTACTTGGGAAGACTAACACCATCACTCCAAACGTCCCTCCCCTTCCTTCTTCCTCCAGCTTTATATGCTGAGCATGACATCATATGGTGTCCTGAGTTTGCCTGGGAAAGAGTTAACTTTTTCCATGGGAAGCTGAAGGTGACACAGCCAAGGCAGCTGACCCATACTGGCCAGGGAGCTATTGGATACCATGTGACATCATGCTCAAGAGTATATATTGGGGGAGCTAGCCAGGGGAGGTGAGCGGTGTTCGCCTGAGTTCCAGGTTCCTCATGATGACCAGTTGTAGCACTCGTTTTGTGTTGTTCTTGCAATAGTGTTATTGTAGTTATTACCCCTTTTTGTTTTTCTTGTACTGTCCTATTAAATTGCCTTTATCTCAAGGGCAATTTTAAATTTTTAAATTTTTTAAATTAGTCGTTAACTATTGTAACTACTTATATGCTGCATCAGTAGCTCTTCCACATGTTAAAACAAAAATACTATCTTCAGAGTTTCATGTATGTAATCCTGGTAAGAAAGGGAAAAACATGAAAGATGTAAAAACCAAAGAATTTTCTTATTCTTGTAGGCCTATCATGGCCACCATCAAGCCCTGGAAGTGCTGGTACAGTCGCTGCTGGATCTCGATGTAAGGAATAATAATGGAAGGACACCATTGGATCTTGCTGCCTTTAAGGGACACGTGGAATGTGTAGATGTGCTCATTAATCAGGGAGCATCAATCTTGGTGAAAGATTATGTTGTCAAGAGGACCCCAATACATGCTGCAGGTATGTGCTAATCGCTAACCTCTAAAATTTCGGCTTTTGAAGTGGATCGTCTTTGCATTGACGTTCCAAGGAGTGTTGTTTAGGAATAGATGATGACTTTTAAGGTATATGCTATGCTGAGAAAGGTGTAACAAAGCAGTTGCGGGTAGAAACCAGTATTAACCAAACAAACCGTTTTGGCTCGAGGAGTGCTGTTCCACACTGCTCTCAGAAGCGTGCCTTGTCCTTGTCCGTTCAGCCAGCTCGGCTAGCTGTTCTGAGGGGTGGCAGTGACGTGTTCTCCTCGTCTTTCACGCAGCCCAGACTGTAAGCCAAATTTAGATACATGAATTGTGTTGCCTGTCTTGGCAGTAAAATACTTCTAAAAATAACTGGAGTCTTGGAGAATTTTGTCAGTTTGAGAAAAGTTGTGAAAACTGTACTTCAGTTTTTTTCCAAAGATTTAAATGACTCCTGAATGTTTTCAAAATAACAGCAATACTTTGAAACCTATAAACCTACCTTTCTCAAAGTCTAGTGTTCATACTATATTGTTACTTGTTTCCTCTCTTCGAAAACAGGCTTATTTAAATTGATATTTATAGTTATGGTGTTATAGAAATGTTGCAATAAAAAAAGCATTATGTACAGAACATTGTCATTCTAACCACTTAATTTGTTGTCCATGAGCACAAGCTGTATTCTTCTATTTGATTTAGCTTCTCCTAACTTCTATTAGCATTTCTGTTCGCTAGAGAAGCATGAATTGTCACTGTTCTTGTGTGGACTGAATACAGGAGCTGTATGTCAGAAATTATTTCCCCTGCAATAAGCAATCATTATCTTTCATGCATTGCATTTAAAGGTGGTTTCTCAATATTCTGTTTCTTTTCTTTTTCCTTTTTTTTTTTTTACCTTCTTGGTTAACTATTTCTGTGCATTACATTTCCTTCCCCTCTTTCTAAATGTGATCTCAGTTATTGTTTCATAACTATGCACATGCTACACTTGCTAACAAAATCTGTGTATGATTGGGTAGGTATGTGTTTACCTGTGCCTTAAAACAAGCAAAAATTACACTAAAATTACTAGGTTTAATCCTTCTTGTGGATATTGTATATATTCTAATTATAGTTAATGGGTGCAACCTCATTTATATCTAAAAAACAAATACCTGTTGTCAACTAACAGTTGCAATCAATTACTTTTAATACAGTTGAGAATGCTTGATTTCTGAAATAATTTTCTACTTTTCATATTCTTGTTTTTAATTTGTTATAACAACGGTAAAGTTGTGCAGTGGGTTCTCAAGCTAATAGGCTTTAGTCTGAGCAGGTTACCATTCTGTTTGAGCTGTGTACTCCAAGGCAATTAATGTAAAACTCATATTTTTATGATGTTTTACAGCTACGAATGGTCACTCAGAATGTTTGAGGCTATTGATAGGAAATGCAGAACCACAGAATGCAGTGGACATCCAGGATGGAAATGGACAGTGAGTTTAAACAAAATATACATTGTGTTCTTCACAAGTTATTGCATTTTTTGTAAAAGGAAAAAGTAAATATTTTACATTGGTGATTTTTAATTTATTACGTTCAAGGGGGATGATATTGGAACTAGGACAAATGAGACTCTGTATTTTGCAATAAACATAATGTTGGTAGTGAAAAATGTTCTTGTTCAGCTGGGAGGAAGCTAAAATGTGTCTTACTGCCCAGATCCTGAAAAAATGGATTCTACTTTGTCGTGGGTTAGGCTGCTCCAGCAACTATACCCTACGCAGTCCCCTCTCACCCTCCCACACCTCAGGGATGAAGGAGAGAATCAAAGAGGAAAAAGAAAAGAGACCCGAGGGTTGAGATAAGAACAATTTACTACCACCGCTACCAATATATATATACACAGATATGTACAAGGATAAACATATACAAACAAGTGATGTACGGTGTAATTGCTCACCACCCCTTGACTGAGGCCCGTCTCGTTATGAAGCTGCAATCCCGAAACGGATAAAACTCGATACCGCGATCCCGGATGAACGTGAGGCCCCGAGACAGAGAGCGAGAGAGAGAAAAAAACCACTCTGAGAGCCCAAAAATCAGAGTCCCGAAGGGCAAAAGCCCTTCTTTCCAGCTGACCCTCACTTTTATACTGGGCATGACGCTGCATGATATGGAATACTAATTGGCCAGTTTGGCCCTCAATCTTAAGTTTAGGTACAAATTGTAAGGAGAGTCATGGACCCCCTTGTCCCAGCTATGCTCCCCCCTTATCTTGTTGTGCTCCTGCACACTGGCAAGAACCCAGCAGGCTGAAAAGTCCTTGAGACCTCAGTGCCAACTATAAACATCAGCTTGATATCAGCATTCTTCTCAGAGCGAGCCTCTGAGTAAAATCAAAACACGGAGCTCTTCTAGCTGCTAAAAAGATGAGCTAATCCTGTCCCAGCTAAAACCAGGACATGGTTACTTAATCTAGACTTCAGAATTAGGTGATATTAATTTATTTTCTTGAATCTAAAAAGATGAGTGGCATTCTCAGAGTGAAGGCACTGCTAGAGAATATCATTGATGATGTGAATTTTAACAGCATTTTCCAGAAGGGTAATAATTGTTATATTTCAGTTGAGTGCTACTCTGTTAATAAGAATTTCCATGTAGATTGCACTTTATTTTACTTTGCTTAGGACTCCGCTGATGTTGTCAGTTCTCAATGGGCACACTGACTGCGTTTATTCACTCCTTAACAAAGGAGCAAACGTAGATGCCAAAGATAAGTGGGGAAGGACAGCATTACATAGAGGGGTAAGAGAATATTGCTTTTCTGTCCTTTCCAGTTTTATACATGCTAATTTCAAGTACGGCCTTAATATGTCATGTTAATTAATTTCTCATTATTCTCATTTTGCCAATCTTAGTTTTTAATTTTCTTTTTAGTTGCTTTCAGAAGGCTAGCTTTTGCCTGTTTGCTACGTAACCTCAGAATTCTCCTGGGCTTCTAGAGTCTCTTAATCTTGCTGTAAAGTGTTGACTGGAGAGGCCCCAGAGTACAGTGTTTTGTTATGAGGTGGGGGTACTGTTAATGGGTGGAAGAAAACTGATGCATGCCATATGCCAAATAATAATTTTTTTTCGTAGTCTCTGCTAGTTAAGACAATTGAATGAGCCCTAGAGATTAGCAGGTCATTCAGTGTTATTCCAAGAAATCATTCTGTCATCAACGTCGTAATACATTGCTATTTTTCCAACAGAATGACTGTTTCCAGGAATAAAAATAACAGTGCTTATTTTGTTATTTCTTTAAAACATAAGAAATTGCCTGAAGCGTGCTTGCTTTAGTTATGCACCTTGGCTTATATACGTGAATATTTGCAAACTTGCTGTTTCTTTTCTGTCTCTCACAGGCAGTTACCGGGCATGAGGAATGTGTGGAAGCGTTGCTTCAACATGGTGCTAAGTCCTTATTACGAGACTGTAGAGGCCGAACCCCTATACACCTGTCAGCTGCATGTGGACATATAGGTGTTCTAGGAGCTCTTCTGCAGTCAGCTACTTCTGTGGATGCAGTACCTGCAATAGCAGACAATCACGGCTACACATCACTGCATTGGGCCTGCTATAATGGTAAAATACATCACAGTTAAAATACAGGTCCAAATGTATTTGTTGATACCGAGATAGAAGCGATTACTACCTACAAAAGGAACATACAGAGTCTGTCCTCTTTCAGTTCATGTTAGTCAATGTGACAATATGACAGACATGGTATGTTTATTTATGTTATAAACTGACTTCTTAGTTTTATGCCTCAAGAAGTCTTTCAAGAAATTCAGCATAGTACCTGTGAATAGAAAAGTGCCACACATCCCAAAAAAGTAACCTTCACACGAGTCTTGGGAGGAGTGGTTTCAGATTAAATCTTTTTTTTAAACTCCCTTCAAATCAACCTTGATAGGCAAAAGAAGCTAAAGTATATAAAAGTGTTTCAATAGGATTTTTTTTTTTTCTTCACTGATACTTTTCTTGGATTTGGGGGTGAGAGAGGCCTTAAAAGATAGGAAACTCATTCAGCAGCTTTGCCAAAGATTTTGTTCTATGTGTTCCTTTTTGACATAGTAGAGGTTCTCCTTTATTTCACGTCCGAGTCACACGATAGAGGAATACCAAGAAGTAAGGGTTTGAAGCTTCACTTTACTGGTTATTTTTAAGTGAATGACTAACTAGACTGTCTTCACAGCTGAAGAAACTGGGTAAAATACACTGATAATTTAAACTAGAATAACATCTCTTTATCACTTTCATAAAATAAAAGTCTTACAGCTTGGACTGTTTTCAGAGTGACCACAATGTCTGAATAAAACCGAACTGAAATATGCTTGGTTTGTAGAATGAAAATTTGACAGGACTTGTGAAAATTCAAACCTTCAGACAACAGTGAATGTTGAACTAAGGTTCTCTGCATATATGCATCAAAGATCAAACAGTTACAACTGTTAGCTACCTGTACAGCAGTAGGCTATGGAATTTTGAAAATAATGGTATGATAGGTTGAATGTGTTCTTCTTAAGCTTTTGGTTTGGCTATCGAGTTGATTTTTCTTTGGGTTTAGCAAGGCAGTGGAACAAAAGTAACCCTCAAACAGTGGAGATGTTTTCACGTAGATTAAGTGGTGAATGTATAGAAGAGTTTGAAACATGGAGGTGTAAAGTGTTCTAAATGTTTTTCAGACAGCATGAGACCTCTCCTAAATTTCATAAAGTTTACAGTGTCAAATGTCAGTTCAGTTTTCAGGATTCTAAAAACATCTTCATTCCTAAACGTAGCCCTATCGAATATAACCAGTGCGTCATTGAAACTTTCAAGTGAAATACTGCTTCATCTAATTTAAATACATATTTTTAATTGTAATCCATAAATAGACCTTTTCTCTTTTTTTTAATACCTAATTTTTACATTTTAATTAGGTCATGACAGTTGTGTAGAGCTCCTCCTGGAACAGGAAGTTTTCCAGAAAATGGAAGGAAATTCTTTCAGTCCGTTGCATTGTGCTGTGTAAGGAAGTGCAAAATTATTCTTCATAGATTTCATTGCTGTATTTAACACAAGATTTATCATTCTGTAAATAACAGCCTGTTTAATTCATTATAGGATAAATGACAATGAAGGTGCTGCAGAAATGTTAATTGATACACTAGGTGCTGGTATTGTAAATTCAACAGATTCAAAAGGAAGGTAAGAGCATAAAGGCGCAGTTGAAGAATGTTTGTAATAGTTGCAGTGGCTCTGCTAAATTCTAAAATCATTTGGGGGCTTTGTATTTACATTAAGTCTCCCTTCCCCATGTTTTGAGTCTTTGAAGAATTTGTTTTTCATTCTGTGCTGGAAATAAATTTTAGATTTTAAAAAATCCTGTTCTGATTCAATAAACTGAAATTTACTTTGTATTACATAGGCAAGTTTGAGCATGTTTTAAATTGTATAACTTTGTGGATAGTATTTTATGCATTTTCTTTTCTGAATCAAATCATATCTCTATTATAAATGACATAGAAGGAAATACTTGAAACTTGGAGATGACTTTCTAAAGACAGCAGTCACAACTCCAGCAGTACTGATTTCAAAGGCTCAGTGAGAGGGACTGCCCAGTCTTTTTCTGTGGGATCACAGTCAGCATGGTCCTTTGAATAAAGTGGAAAACGTGGCTCAACATGGCCATATTGTCTCTTGATCTGTTGTAGAACTCCTCTTCATGCAGCAGCTTTTACAGATCACGTTGAGTGTCTACAGCTTCTGCTCAGTCACAACGCTCAAGTAAATGCTGTAGATTCTTCTGGGAAAACACCTTTAATGATGGCTGCAGAAAATGGACAGACAAATACAGTTGGTAAAGAGAAAGCTTTATATATTTCTGCTTTTGATGTGTGTTAATCCTACTATGGGTAAAGTTGCCTTATAGTTAACGTTCTTGTGGATGTATTTTGTCAAAATTATGTTTTCATTTTGCGCAAATTTAAGCCATTAAGACTTCAAGGAATATGCTTCTAGTTAATACAAATCTTTATTTCCCCAGAGGTGCTGGTTAGCAGTGCTAAGGCTGATCTGACTTTGCAAGACAGTTGTAAGAACACAGCACTCCATTTGGCTTGCAGCAAGGTGTGTGCGTAGTCTGACTTATCGGTGCCGACTTTTGTGTTATCAAGCACTGTTGGCAAATATTAGCTTGTTACTTTGAAAAGGCATTCAAAGCAATTTCGGAAGAGTATTTGTTATGTGACAGATGTTTGTTCTTTATCAAGGGTCATGAAACTAGTGCCTTGTTAATACTGGAGAAGATTACAGATAGAAACCTCATCAATGCCACCAACGCAGCCTTGCAAACGTACGTATCGGCAGTGAGTGTGTTTTACAGATGAGTTTTTGATGTGTCTCTGCTAAAACCAGTATCTTGCTCATAAAGAGGAATATTTTTCAGAATTTTTTCCCAATTGGTTCAATTTTGATTGAATTGCTTAACAGGTACCAAGAGGTTAACTGACTTGAAGTGAAATGGCGTTTTGTTCATACTTAAAGTTCTAGTTTTAGCTCAGTGAAAGAGATGATAAAAAAATCTTACAGTATTGTGATTCAGGGAATCCCATGTGGAATTACGGCAAATCACTGAGATTACCTGTAAACCAATATTTTTTTATTTTATAAATTATCTAATTTTTCAGTTAAAATTCACTTCACTTAACAACTCATTGGAGACAAACTAAGACTTGCTCTTCAAAGCTACCTAATAAAACACCTAGCTGAAGTATGCTTTTATTCTTCAGCATGCTTTCTGTTAGGAAAAGATACCTATTGCTACTAGGATGAAAGACTGTTTTCTATTAAATACTACGGAGAATATAACATTCTTAATGCTTCCTGAAGATCTTTCAAGTAGAATTAAGCCTATTTCATTAGCCCAATCATATGGAAGACTTAAAACTGTGGTGGTATGTCATACTGGACAATATATTTCAGGATGGGCTATTAAAAGGGCTCTTCTGCATTTTTTTCATTTTAAAGAATGTATTTGTGTTATAGGCAGTATTTGACACCTGATAGGTATCTGATTTATGTACATGAGTTGTTAGATTGCTTAATAATGCTATCACAAACCATTCAGGAAAAAAAAACACAGAACTTGTAAGCAACTTTTGTATTTCTTTGGCCTTGCACCCCTTTTGGAATCTGTCGTGTTCAAACTCCTACAGTTGTTCCAACTGTTCTCAGAGATCCACCTGAACTAAGGAGTTAAAGACAGTAAGACTTTTTCCTCTGTTCTTGCTGCTCACCGTGGTGCACCTCAAGCAGTATGAAATAACCAGAAAGCAGAAAAGGGATTCATTGCCCCATTTCTAACTTGAAGGGGGGGAAGTCTTGAGAGGAGGAAAAGCAAAACCAAGATGGGAACAGAAGTGGGAAAGTATGCTACCACAGGCTCATCTAATTCCACCTACATATCTTGGCTCATAGAGTCTGATCAAGAGACGTTATGGGGAAAAATAGGTACATATTCACACCTCCATGAAATGTTTATATAAATTTCAACATTTTAACAGTTGTTTAAAGTATTACTGGTTTAGCAAATGTTTTTTAATAACTAAACTGACTTTCTAAACAGCTTTCATCATAAACAATGTCCTGCTTTGCCAAGATAAGCATTACAATTGTTGGGCTGTTTTAATTACAGTACATTTTTCAGTATACCTGGTGTGCACTAGTTCTTGAATTTTAATGTTTTAATATAAGCACCACAGATACAGCTTCTCCTATTTCTATCTTTTCTATTTCTGATCTCTAAGTAAGGTACTTGTTTCCAAATGAAAATTTAGTTCACAGTTAATTCAAAGTTTTAAGAATCTCGAAATGAATGAAGAGCAATAAAAAGAAGAAGGGAAGTAAGCCGATTATTCTATTTCCGGCTGAGTGGTGGGGGGGTTTTATTTAAGCCAGTGGGAACCAATTTTGAAAAACTGTTGCATTTGAAAAAGAGAAAATTAGAATGTTTGAGGTAAAGCTACACTTCCCTTGATAGATCAAGTCACCGCAAGACAGGGTTATGGGTAATAGTTTGAGGTTCTGAAAAGTAATCTGTTTTCCTGCTTCATGCATTATATTGTAAAATAATTCTTTCATTTCCAGTCACAGTGGAATATAGTAAGTTTCTAAAAGACAGGTTAATTAAATGCTTCTGCATCTCTTACAAGCATTTACATGCAATAAAATGACTGCCATTCTGCTGTTACTATTCTAATGATTATTGCTAGTGACATGGAGTAACTCTCAGATGCGATGATGTGTGTTAGAACAATTAAGTGAAGGGTTTATCGACAGTAAGTAACAGAGGTTTGTAAATTTTTAACATGATCAAGTTAGCAAGCAGGCAGGTCTCTTCCAGCAGCTACTTCCCCTGTGTGGTGCAATTGTTAGTGCACAATTGTTACTGTACAGTTTCTTTGCAATAAGAAAATACATTTGCTGGTTTTCCCATCTTAGTTATTATATCTACAGTATTTATATAATGTGTAAGTAACATACCAGTATAAATACTTCCATAATCATTTAACTAGATGCAAGCTACCTATCTTACTTAATATCTTGTTCTAAGGTTTATATACCAGTTTGCTTGTCTTCACAGACCTCTGCATGTTGCTGCTCGGAATGGACTAACGGTTGTAGTTCAAGAGCTTTTAGGGAAGGGAGCAAGTGTACTTGCTGTAGATGAAAATGGTAAGAATAAATTTTACTTTATTTCCCCATAAGGAACTGTGGTTTTAAACTCCGCTCACTGAAAAGCTGGGACTCTTTGGGAATTTTGTATAAGCCTTGAAGTAGGATGCCCCATAGGAAAAAATGCATTGCGTTGGTGATGGGTCATTTTAGCAAAGCAGCAGAAATTAAGGGGAGTGAAAACTTTCAGAACAATGCAGGTCCCAGTATAGAAATACTTGGTTTGCATTCGTAGTTTTATAATATATACACTATAAATACACTAGCTCTGGCATACTAGAAACGGTTAAAAAAAAAAAAAGTAATGTTCAAAGTAAAATAGAACTTTCAGCTGTTAAAAAGCTGGATTGAATTGCCGTTCATTTTGTCTCGGTAGGTGTACCGGGGTTAGTTTGTAAAAGCAAGTATGAATTACAGATCCGTTACTGGTCTCAAGCTTCTGGCTCTTTGGAGTTTTTTGGCACATATAAGTAAGAAAAGTAACTGCTTTATCACACAGAATAAATCCTATACGTTTTAAGAACAAAAGAAAATTAGATCTACTGACTTCTTATTTGCATAGTTTCTTGTAAGAAACCGGTGGTCCTCCAAAGCTGTGCTTTTAAGAGCATAAGAGCTCCTGTTCTTATGCCATACCCCAATATGTCTTTTTAATATAAGCAGCAGTTGGAGTTAGGGGGCAGGGTGGGGGGTTGTTGGTTGGTTGGTGGGGTTTTTTTTCCCCAGAAGGGATGTGCCTAATTAATAGTTTTGATTATATTTCCAGTTTGGAAAGTTTTTCCTTTCCTAATGATTACTGTGACTTTCTCTGTGTGTTTCTCAAATTACTCTGCTTAAAGTGACATGGGTGATTCAAAGATCATTCCTTTCCTAAAGTAAGTTACAGGGGTAACTGCTAAATGAAACTCCCTAAAATTAAAAGATTGGGAAACATACCTTTTTGATTTTTGTTTCTCATCACAAATATGCTAACTGGAGATGTTGTTTGTATTTTTGTGGGCTTTTCATGTGCAGCCAGCCAGTCCCTCGTTAAGGTGGATCTTTGACATAACAAAGAAAAAAGTTGGTTTTATAGAAGTCAGTTCTGTGGCAGCCTGGGGATCTATCTGCAACATGTTAAACAACATCTTAATTCTGCTAAAATTTTAAATTTTAAAGTAACTCTGAGTGCTACCTAATCTAGTTCCTCACTGTGGTTCTTAACTTTTCTTTCTAATAGCAATTGTTTTGTTTATAAAATGTTAAACAACCTTGAGAATATTCGTAATGAATTCTTTTTCTGTTGGATGGAATGTGCCAGCTTAAAGTACAGTATGTGCAAAGTGATGAATACTTTTGGGTTGTGAGAGAGCAAGGGAAATTGTCACAGGATTTATCAATCTATTTCACCTGTCACTGTAACTTTTTTCTTAATTCTTAGAACTATTAGTATGTCAGCAGGCTTGCTAAATCTGTTGCAAAAGTTTTCTCAATTTCCATATGTACTTTTTATATTAAATGGAAAAGCTGGCAATAGCGATAGCCAGGTTCTGCTTTAGGTCTACTTCTCTTTGATTTTAGCATCTACTGCTAGAGTGTAAGTGTTCCTAAAGAAAAAAAAAACAACATACATTTATTTAATTCTAATAAATAAAAATGTAGGAAAAAATGAATTTTTTTTATTATTATTCGAAAGGGTTGAGAATGATTTATTCATTTTGGGGGGTGAAAGCTACCTGTTTAGCAAAGCAGACTGAAGAAACAGACACTGAAATATTTTGCATCGCAGCATTGACATTCTCTTACTTCAGCATAGCTCAGATAAGTACAGTGGTCTGCCACACAAGCTTGGCATTTCAGGTAGAATTAGATGAAATTGCAGGTAAAGTTTGAGTTAGTATTTTACATGGATGGATGTCTTGATGTATGGAACATGTTAACCAGCAGAACCTCAGCTGTTAGTGAGCCGCTTTTTGTCTTTGAAGTTGTCCCTTTCTATGAAGGCTGCATCGAGCTTTTCTACAAGCAGTCTCTATTTGTGTCTGTATCTGCATAAAACTACTTAATAGTTCTCTGCTGCTATATCTGGGCTACAGAAAATTACTGAAAACATGAGCTTTAAAAAAAACTAACATCATTCCAATCTCTGCATTTCAGTTTATCAATATTATATCTAAAACTCTAGATTTGAAGCCATACTGCTTTTGTTACAGAGCATCTCTTAATGTGGTGAGATCGCTTTTTGAAATGTTTAAGAACTACTGTCTTTGGAAAACATTTAATCCTCTTGGTTCTCACAAGATTAAATGCAACTGAAACAGCAAATTAACTGTCCAGTATACTTCCCAAAAATAGCCATGTTGAGGGTTCATTCTCAGTTCTGGATCAGTTTTCACTCAAATCTTTCAGTTCTTTTCCTGTGTTTCCACACCTGTCTTGATGAAACTTTGCCATCATTCGCATCTACAAAAATTCTGTTGGATTTTACATTACTTATGCAAGTTTACCTGTCTTAAAAGAAATTACTAGCTACTGCTTTCATTTGGCACCAGCTGAAGTTTTATTTTTGGTCACTCACTTTTCAAGTTTTTTTTGTTTTGGATTTCTTCCCGCTGTTTAACTTACTAGGCTAGCTAAATTTCCTGGTACGGTCTGTCTTTTATTTGTCATATTAATGTGCACCACAGTAATGAGAGGAGGCATTCTCTAACCCCGGAGACTGACATAGCGTGGAGGTTTCTTATTTTCTAGATTCATCACTACAGTGATGAATGGCCTTTCAAGCTTTTTTTTCTTTTTTTCTTTTTTTTTTTAAAAAAAGGGGGACGGAGTGGATTTTTTTTTTTGTCTAGTTCTTTTCCAAGCCTTCCTTTACTCATATTCTAGTTTATATTGGAGACTTCCAGTTTTCTGGAAGGAATTTTTCCTGTAAATGCTTCTGAGATGACTCACGCCTCAGATGACTTTCTTCTCTTTCCCAAGTGTAAGACTTCATTCAGTTTATCTTGAGAACTGTCTTTGCATTGACTGCATCAATGACCTTCTGATTTTCCTGCAGGCGCCTTCACAGAAACTTTCAAGCCACAGGGGAGGGAGCAGCTCTGCATTTTGGGCAGGGGGAGCCCTGGTCTTAAGTCCATGTCCACCATTTAGGCTCTGTTTTCTGTTGTGCAAGGAAACTGCTTCATCTCACTCTGCTTCTGTTGCCCTGTCTATAAATGAAGATAGTGATTTTTTTGTTTTGTTTTGTGAAAGCTTACACAAATACAAGTAGAGATTATAGGGAACATTATATGAGAACTGCGTATTTCAGTGGAGTTGATACCTTTACCAACGTCTTATTAAAAGAACATTGGAAGTATTTATACCTATTGTTGCCCTGACATATGAATGATCAGTTTGCAGTTGCTTAAGGGATATAAAAATATAATTTGTTCTTGTAATTTTAAAATAATATAGGCAAAAATAAAATGGAGGAGGACGCAGATGTCAGTATTTCATGGTGCAAGCAGTTACTTCCTTTTGCTATGTCTAAGGCAAGAATAAAACTGTGATATTTCATTCCTAGTTATGAAAGCCAGAAGCTTAAGATCTACAGGCGAACATTAGTATAAATACTGTTTTTAGAGAACTTCTAAAAGAAGCAAGTAATCTGTTTGATCTTTACATTGGCCTTCAGTAGTTTTTTATGATGACCTGAGATGCTCAAAGGTAGCTGGTGACTGCTCATTTTTCTTCTTTGAGCTTTTATCAGATTGTGTTAGTGAAAGAAATGGTGTTGAGCATGGCCACCTTGAATAAACTTACTTTGTGGTCATCTTACCTTCAAACGATCTTCAGCAACTGTAGATATTAAACTGTGTGCATTTGAGTATCAATGCTGAGCTTTCTGTTCTGCCTGACGTACCTGAAATGCAGTATTCATCCGAGTGTAGCAAGCTCTGGCCCTTGCTTCTGAACCCTCTCAAAATGTATCTCTTCTGCAGACTCACTGTTAACTCTGAGCTGTGTTAAGTGCTGCAATATGTTACTAATAGTGAAAACATCTGCTGCGCTGCACTTCTGTACGGCCCTATCGCGTGCTCAGCTGGTGCGTTCTGTGCCTGAATTATCCCTGTGTTTCCTTGGATTGTGTGCTCCTTGGGGCAGGGACTGTTGTCTTACTCTGTTCCAAGCATCAAGCACAAGGTCTGTCCTGAGCAAATAATAGTTCAACTGCAAGATTGTCTGTCCCCTGCTTGCTGTTTTCCTAATTTCTAGCTACAATTATTTTCCATAATGTACCTAGTTGTTTAAAACTTCTGTGCAATTGTGTCACACGATGACTTGTTCTGAGCTCTGTCCTAACACTTGACCTGGATCTACTTCTACAATAAAGATGATTCCTTAGTAGTTGAAACACTTGCTGGCAGAACAGGCATTGCCTCATTTTCCATGTCTTCCTAAGGTCTGGATGGAAATCCATCATAAGGTTTGCATTAAAGCCATCTGTTACTTGAAATTGATTGTGTATTTTTTATGTGGATGTTATACACCTTTAAGTTGTGGACTGGGGCTAGTGCAGGACTTTAGACTTTCAAATGTACCTGAACATGAGTCTTCCCGTTCAGCTCATTGTGGGCCTGTCTGTTGCATGCAGTGAGAGATACTGCAGGGTGCTACAGGGTGATGTGGCCACCAGCTTCTGTGCGGAGCCAGGCAAAGGGAACTGACTTTGTCTTGGCAGCAGGGTCAGCCGTTAGCTGTGGTTGTACTTAGGTGACTGCCTCGCTGCTGGAGCTGCTGTCACCACCAACTGCAGTGCCTCAGTGCTGCAGAAATACCCTGAGACTGTGCCAGAACTTACCCTCGGGGGCGATGCTGAATGATTAAGGCTGACGCCTGAGGCAGGAGCAATGCGCAGATCTCACCTGAGGAGAATTTGAAGCATTTTTCTTGATATTTAATGGGTAGAGGCAAGTACATAGGGAAGGGGGAAGCTGCAAAAGGAGAAATGTTGGAGGATTATTAGAGCCTCAGTTACTGAGAAGAGATTTCCCAGCTACGTGACCTGACCGCAAATCATTCCATGGCTCGAGACCTCCTGAATTTGGGGGTTATCACAGTAGCATTGTCTGACAGAAGGAGTTTGCCCAGACCAGTTGGACAACCAAGAGTTTCTCTTTGCAAGTCCTAGTCTACTAGTCCAGCTGGCCCTTCCTCAGACTTGGTGGATTTCTTAATTGATATCCCTCAAATAAAAGTTAGGCATTGGCTTTACAGTTTATATTACTGTGTATTGTAATAAGGTATAGGTCGATTAAAATTGTACGCTCTGCCTCTGCAGTTAACTGGCCCTGATGCTTTAGCCAGCTTGTTATCGAGATAGGGAGTTACTTATTAAAGTAACTGTGATGAACAGCTCTATGGAATCTTCTGGATGAAGAAATATTTAGCACGTTGAGCTATGGTTTCTGCAGTGGCTCCCTAGTGAATGCCTTCACCCAGCACTGGTGGCTGCCATTAGTTGTCTCTCCTCAGCAAGGTGACTTCCTCTCCATTTTCAAATCCAGGCTTTTGTTGCTGCTCTGGCGTGTCTGACTGCACTTAACAAAGCAATTACATCTCCGTTCCAAAGCCCACTAACTTCTGGATTGGTTTTGTAACTGAAAGTTAAAAAATTCTTATTGATAGTGCATTTAATTTTGTGCTTTGGGGTTCGTTTTTTGCTTTTTTTTTGAACAGTGCAGAACTAAGCAATACAAAATACTTTTGCAGCTGAAACATGACGTGATATTGGAGGAATTTTTACATTGTCTTAATTTTAAACGAAGGTTTTGTGTTTTCTTGACTTTACAGGTTACACACCAGCTTTGGCCTGTGCACCCAATAAAGATGTGGCTGATTGCCTAGCTCTTATCCTGGCCACGATGATGCCAGTTTCATCGAGCAGCACGTTACCTTCCCTTACATTCAATGCCATTAATCATTACACCAACACCTCAAAAACTGTCACCTTCGATTCCTTGCCAATCATGAGGAGTGACCATAGCTCTTACTGTACTTTCAACAACATTGGCAGGGAAGATGGCTACCCATATACAGAAGAAGATGAACTCAATGACTCAGATTCTGAGACCTATTAGAAGCTACATTTTTTGTAGGTCTGAAGAGTGATCCCTCACGCTGGAAGGTCAGACTCATGCTTTTGAAAAAAAGCTATCAGTGTTTGAATGCAAAAAGAGGACAGAACTTTGAGAAGATGTTTTTTTATTGTGGTTGCATATTAAAAAAAAAAAATCTGTGAGACTCTAGGAGGATTTTTAAGAGCATATTTTGCAGAAGAAGCATGAATTCTTGAATAAGTACTTGGAATCCATGGCAAAAAAAAAAAAAAAAAGGAATGTCAAAACTGTTTTATTTAACTGTATTCTGCCATTCTGTTTCTGGTGCCAGGAGTAATTTCTGCAGACTGGGCACCCTACTTGATATAAATGAACAACACTATTGTACAACACGACGGATGCTAGATTTAAATATTATCGATAAAACTAAAACCATTTTGAAGGCAATAAATGAGTTTGGTACAGTAGGCATTGTTTGTGCTGCAAATTGCCAAAGGACCAAATAACTTAGAGATTTTTTTAATTAAATACGTTTTTGTGAAAACTGGAATAGGTTATTTGAGAAGTTGTTTCAACCAAACCTTAATTACTTCTGGAAAAGAAGCTTATTAGATTTGATTTTAAATGTTGATTTATTAATTTTTTTTTAAATCATCTGAAAGCCTTCTGACACTATTAAATGTACCATGAAAGAAAGCAGATATACTTTTAAGTTTTGTTTCCTTTTTCTTTTAGGTGAAATGAAAATGAACTTGTCATACTTTTATAATACTAAAATTAAACCAGCTAACAAGGTGAAGTCAGGGTGAAAAATGTACAGTGTAATAAACATTGGGAAGGGGTGGGAGATGTGGGAGGGAAGCAGTAATTGTTGCACAGTTTTAGATATTTTTTTTTTTAACTTTTGCGTTTTGGATTGAGTTTTTTTTAATTTAAAAATACATGAGTAACTTGAAAACTATGAAACTGCATAAAAAAATTGAAATGGTATGTCTTGATAACCCTGTTGTGACTTGAGAGTTCTTTTCAATAATTTGTCCACTTCCTTACATCATAAATTTGTATGTAAGATTAAAATTGTATATCCCTATCACTTTTAATCCTGGAGTTACAAGGCGGGAGGGGGGAGGTGAATTTAAAAGTATATTTCCCTATTAGAGAAAAAAGTACAGTGTCTGGTCTGTGGGAAGAGCTGTGTATCTTTGTTGTGCTCCATTTAGAGAATAAACAGCAGAAACAGGTCCCTGTAACGTAGTTCAGACTTGCCCGAATATTTTTTTTTTTTAATTTATAACAGACTACTGTGGGGTTTTTTTAATTGCCTGAAGAATTAAAAACTGACATAAATAAGACGAAGTTTTGTCTGTTAAATATGAATATTTACTTTATTTGGCTCTGCTTTAACTATAACTGTTACTTTTCAAGTGAATTTGTTTATTTACATGCAGGGAATCCTTGCATGTCCTGGTAAAGTAAAAATAAATTACTACAAACTGATTCCAATTTCCTTTTTATCCTTTTTGTATTATGAAACTGGAAATCTTTATGATACTGTAAATTATCAGCTGGTTTTCTGAACATAGTGTGGAAACACGGGACAATATTTTGACCTATTTGATAATTTGTTGGGTTTTTTGAAGAATTAATGAGCATGTACATAGAAATAGCGTCTGCTTGAATACTGTATTTACCTGCACTCTTTCAGTACTTCAAGATTCCTGTATATTTTACGGAGTATAATAAAACCCAAATGTGAGTTCGACTAATGAATAATGTATTTGTATCTACTAAGCATTAATGACAGTCTCCTTTGTTGAACTGTTAGAATTTTATAAAATCTTCTTCACAAAGGCTTTGCCAGCATTTTAATTCTAAAGTGAAGAGGAGCTATTTAAATTTAAAGTAATTTTAAATGTTAAATTACTTCACTATTCCTTTAAGCTTCCTTTTAAGTATTACTTTCTTAACTATTTGTGCCTGCCTTCATTGTTTATATATGCAGTACGTTTGTCCGTGAGCAGAATTAGATGAATTCAGGGAGATCGTGATTTCTGTGTTTTCTTCCCTCTGAATCTTTCCAAGTGTGGGGCTATGTGGGAGTGATGTACGTGCCTCAGCTGAGCATGCAGGCAGCACTCGGAAGATCCATGTTGGCCTCTCTTGATATTCGTTCTGTCTATTTAAATATAAAGGCTGAAGCAGCACAGACCCATTTTTCCTCATAGGCTTGTGGAAAATCTGAAGCAGAATGCCAAGTAGCATGCCTGATGTTTGAAAGGTAACAATTGCATCTTTCTGTTAATGGACATGTCCAATTTTTGTTGCTTCAAAGGAACTGTGAGAAGAGGATACTAATGGGCCTTTACTACCTGTGCTAACTTCGGTTTGACTTTAAGATGACCCGTTACCCCAGTGTGTGGTGTCTGTAGCCACAGGGCAGTTTATAGGAGGGGACACTCCAATCTTATTCAAAAAATTAGCTAGGCAGCAGTGACTGAGAACTATTTCTGTCCACTGTCTGGATGATGGAGGAGAAAAAGCTCAGAAGGTGTTGGTTTAAAAGGTAAGGATTTGGATTGGGAATACAGGCAAATGCAGAAGAGGCTGTTGAACACCTTGTTTCCTTATGTCAATCAGAAATTGTGCCTCTCTTTCATTACTACCTGCCTCTTGAGGAAGAAAACTTTTTTGCTGCATTAAATTGCATTATTTTTAAGTTAAGTTTTGTGAACTTTTTAGACCTAAAGTTCTGTCTTTTTTATTACAAATTGTTAATTCCATTTGGAACTCAGAGTTACATGATTTGTGTATCTCATCATTGGAATATATTCAGTGCGGCTGTAGATTGTAATTTCCATGTATTTGGTGGCTCCTATTTAAAATTTAAAAAAAAAAAACCCACACAACAAAAAAAATAAAACAACTATCACTACCTGGCAGTATGGGTAGGACAGGAATTGTGCCTTGTAAGTGATAATTAAGACTATTACTAGAATATGGTCTTATTCCAAAATTGGAACGTGATTTGTTTAAAGAACATGCTAATAATGCACTCAGAGACCGCTTTCTTAATGAGAGGTCAAGGAACAGAAGGTCCCTTGTTTCTGTAAACCAAATAATGCTGTCTGGGGCTGGTGCGGGTGTTCTATTAAAAAAAAAAGTGTTCATACCTCAATGGAGACCTGTTCATTTCCAGAAAATTATATTGGAACCTCCATCTTTCTAAAATAAATCCTCTTTTTGTACAGATGAAAGGGCATGGCTATTTTTTACAACCTTCATCCAAACAATCTCTTGGATTTTCACCAAGAGGGAGCAATGAGGCTGTAAATCAGAATAAAAGAACCCTTTTTATCCTGGGGGGGAAAAAAAAAAAAAAAAACAACAAAACAACCAAAAAAACCAAACAACACAAATAGAGTTTAGGAATGAGAACCACCAGCTCTGCTCAGCTTTCTGTGTACTTTGACTTCTGGGATGTTTTATGGGTTTTTCAGTTCTCAGGATATTCTGCAGAAGAAAATGCCATGTTTGTATTAACCTCTCAGGCTGAGCTGTTACTTCGAGTGTTGTGTGGTAGCATAAATGTTGGATGCTGTTAAAATGAAGGATCAGTCTGTCTCTCCCCCCACCCCGAGTGACCCCACTGTAATCAAAAAGATTTTCCATGTAATATCTTACAAAATCTTGACCTCTCTGTCTCCTGCTTTGTATTTCCTCCTATTTTATTCCTTCCCCACCTTTAGATATCTTAAACAATCATAAAAAAAATCTCTTTGGAACAATTGGAGCTTGAAACATGCACTTCTTTAACTTGGATCTTGGTTGTAGCGGGTTTTTCTTCTGATTGTGTATTTTCTCACTTGAAATTGTGACTTGTCTACCAGGCTAAAGAATTAATAAATGTTTAGTTTAAAAAAAAGTTAGTATTTAAAAATTAATTACTTCAAAGTTTTGCTCCTTTTAACATCTACACAAAGGGCACTGAAGATCCCAAAGCTGTTACCTAAGCTGTACAGAATATCACTAAAAAGGAGCATGAAATAAAGTCTACAGATTCTTCAACCCAGTAATTGTGGGTTTGAGAGGAATCAGCCTTCCTGTCTTGCCCAGAGATTATGTCCATTTAAAGGCAGCAACTACTGTAGTAATAGAGAATAACATACTCTATTTGTATTCTAGTTCCAAAAAAAAAATTAAAAAACAAAACAAAACAGAGCACGTTCATGAAATGCAGTTGGTTGAGATAACTCAAAATAGTTTGTGGTGATATTTCTATTAATCATGCAATACCTGGGTGAGAGGAAAAGCCTGTAGGAAGGTGGTAAGCAACAGTGAACACCGTACCAAGGACTGTGGTCCAGCCTATACTTCGGAGAGGTTTTTTCACACGCATATCCATGGAACGTTTTTAACAGTGCTGGATGTGTGTGGGGAACCCATACTACATAATTCCGTGTCTGGATCAGTGAAGTTCACATCTTAAAAACTGAAACCTAAATAAAAAGGGTGTTTATGGCAACAGCAGTTCTGGAGAACTGGAGATTGTGCAGTTCGGCTCAGTGTACCAGAGGGTGGGTGAGGGAGGTCCGTGGGCTTCCCCGGCTGCAGCTGGGACATCGGCAGGACGAGGTGGCAGGAGAACCCTCCTCGTCTCCCACCACTTTGTCTGCTCTGTCACTGCTGATAGAACATACCCACTTCCCAAAAGAAATGCCATTGTACTTTTGGTTAAAAAGCATTGCTTCCTGATAATAATTCTTGATAATACAGTCCTGGTTGGAATCAGACTAATTAACCGTGGAGAGAAGAGCCTTTATAATCTCTTAATAAGTAGTTTAAACACTGCTTCCATAGGTCTGGATTTAAACTCAGCAAAATCCATTTTAATATCAGGAAAAAGTAAGCATTTAATTTCTTGAAGTTGGTCCAGCAGATTCATATAAATCCTTAAATCCAAGATTGACTGGTAATTATTGCCTCTTGTAGTAATCTCTCAATGATTTGCGATTACTTCCTTATAATCCCTTAACATGGTGCAGAAGCTGATGGGACAGTTCGAGAAGAATTCTTTCAGAGTAGGATTAAAAACTTTTTTTATAAATCTGTAGCTGTGTGTCGTGTCCCCCCCCACTTCAAACCATAACACTGTGTCTCTAAATTGAACAAGATAATGTTTAAAACCTGTGTCGTCTTTACGGAGCGATACCTGGGACGTGAAATGGGAAGAGGTGCAGTACAGGCCTCTCTGCCAAGCTGACAGCATCGGCTTTTTTAATTTTCTGGAGTCGGTTCTCACTATAATATCTGTATGTTTTGAAGAATGTTAAGTGCAAAGGAACCACCGTGCATTAATTTGAAATGGCAAAACAACTAGTTATTTTTCAGAAAATATCCTATTATGACATTTATAATGATCTCTAAGCCTTATCACAAAAATCCCTTCATTTTAC